CCCCAAAACCCCAAAACCCCAAAACCCCATCTGTAAAATGCATTTAAATTTTGTGAATTAGATTATTAAATATTATAATTATTTACAAGTTAAAAATGAAAAAGTCTCATAAAAGTGGTAAAAAATCAACATCTAAGAAAGTAGATGCCTCTAAATCAGTGATCATACTACTTGATTTCAATCAAGATACTTAGCTATACAGCTTAGACTATGCTGGGTTCGAATATCAAAGTATTATTAATCAATAGTTATCAATCATAATAGGGATTAAGCCAGATGAAAACAAGGATGCAGAAAAAAAGCAAGAGAAGCAAGTAATATAGATACTAAACCCAAAGATTAAAAAGGAAAACTCTGTTTAGATTAAGGATGAGGTAATGGCAGATCAATCAAGCAATAACAACAACTCATTTTCCAATATAAAAATCAAAGCCCAGTCACCTTTGCCTGAAGATGAAGAGGATCAGAACAATGTTACCAACTACGATTAGAATGATGTCAAGAATGAAAGCGTGTATTCTTAATAAGATCCCTACCATTTGGCTAAGATCAACATGATTAATAAGATCGTGGTACCTTCAGCAGCTGCTGATTGGTTTAATCTTGAAGATATTAATGACATCGAAAAAGAATCTCTCCCAGAATACTTCAATGGCAAATATCCTTCTAAGACTCCATAGATTTATAAGGAGTATAGGAACTTTATGGTATAGTTATACCGCCAAAATCCAATCGCTTATCTCACAGCAACAAGTAATGATAGAGTTAAACTAATAATTAATATAGCTTGCAGAAGACATCTTGCGGGAGATGTATGCTCTATCATTAGAGTTCATAGCTTCTTAGAGTAATGGGGTCTCATTAACTTCAATGTTGACCCATATGCCAAGCCTCATAAAATTTCAGTTATCAAAGAGGCTTCTTACAATAAAGTGCTAGTAAATGCTGCAAATAAATATCTCTTATGTAATAAATTGAGTTTATTAATATTTACAGAAAAAAACGAGGATGAGTATCTAAATAACCTTTTTGAGATAGATCAGCCACAATCTCAGACCAAACTTCAAGCCTCCATAGATTTCTAAAGTTTAAGAAAAATCAACATCTTGACAAGCAAAGATAGACCATTCTGTGCATTCTGCGATGCTTTATGTGGATTCAATTGGTATCAAAGGATTAATACTGGAGAAGATGAATAGACAAACTTTCAGCTATGCGAATCCTGCTTTAGCAAAGGCAACTACCCAACTAATCTAAGTGAAAAAGATTTCTAGGTAAAATGTCTATCTGAGGAATAGTGGGATAGGATCTAAAAAGAAATCAGCCCAGAGGTTGAAATTCAAGCAAAGGCTAAGAATTCAAGTTTGACTCATGAGAGCTAGCAGAAGTTGCTTTCATTAGTCATGCAGAATGGTGATGATTGGAAGAAAATTGGTGAAGAGATGGGATTCAAGAGTAAGAAAGAGGCTATTCTGGAATTCCTCAGAGCTCCCATAGATGAGTTCGATCCTAACGATCATTAATATGTAAAGATGGCAGCACACAATCCAGAGGAAACTCACAAAGACATGAGAGATGTGGAACCGTATAATCAAGTAGATCAGCTCTTCTTATAATGCGAGTTACTTTAGTAATTTGCCTTCCAGTCTGAGAAAAAGTCCATATTAGGTAAGAGAAGAAGAGAGGAGAACAAGGAATACTAAAATTTGAAATAGCAATAGAGGAAGTTAGAGATTGAAAAGAGAAAACTGGCTTAGAAAATCATGGTTTAGAAGTTGAATCTGATGGAAGAGGAATTGAAAGAAATGAGGACAGTGGACAATAGTCTAGGCAAGATCAGACATGAATATAAGAATTTAATGAGTCAAATGTTTGCTGAGAGATTCTCCTTAACTATATCTAACAAGAGACTTTCATAATGAGTTTAAATCAAGTTTAATTAATTAATCATTCCTTTTTGTCATTTTGAGCTAGATATGCTGGTTTGTGATGTTTAGTATCCTGTTCAGGCTCGTCTCTACCTTTAATATAGTTGTCCATTCTAATGAATTTCTTATCTTTTTTTGAACCTTCAACATACTCATATTGGATTAATTTGTAGTTGAATGCGTAATAATAAAGTAAGTTATCATACTTCCCGTCATACTTAGCATAGTCTCCTGAGCAATTTTTGTTCACATCATAGTCTCTAAAGAAATAATATAATGCTTCTATAGTTGCAAGGTTAGCTTCGGAAATTCTTTGATATCTCCAAAAGACTGTCTTCTCTGTTTAGATCTTGATTTTTTTAATCTTCTTCACATTAGCCTATTTGAGGAAGTGATGAGTTTGATTCCAAGTGCAATCAATTATGACAACTTTCTTGATTTTAGCAAGCTCCTCTTCACTCATTTTAATGACCTCTTAAGCATCGTCAGTTGGGAAGAGTAAGACAACAGAATCATAATCCTCGTCATCATCTCTTAAGGAACTTATATCCATCTCATGTACAATTTGAACTTTCTCAGGCGCTACAATCTTTGATGCAACAATTGAACTCTTGCTTATTTTTTCTTTTGGATGTCTCAATCTATTAAAATATAACTCAAGTAAATATATATACACAGTGACCTCTATAGGTAGATCTACTCTTGGAACAGTTGCTAAATCATCATTTAGAGGGATATAGCAATCATAGCAAAAGTATTTCCTACTGCATTTACATTTTGGACAATCCTTTCTCCCTTTCATTTCAATTAAAGCATTAAATGAATTCAGCTTCAGTTTGTCTATATATGACTATTGCTGATCTTGCCTCTCGTTTAGAACGCTGAAGTCAATCTTCTTTTCTTAGTTATTCTGATCCAGCTTTTATCGCTTTTAAACTCCCTATTCCTTAACCTCTTCTTCCTCCTAATCATAAGATAAGAGACGAAATTCTCAATTCTTTACCTATCCTTTCTTTTCCATTGTATTTGATTGTCTTTTCATTATATAATTAGTTATATTTTTAAGTTTATTAAGTAATTTTTTAGTCCAAGCAATTCTTAAAATTTCTTAAGGGGTTTTGGGGTTTTGGGG